GGGGGGGGGGGGGGTGCGGGGGGATAGCCTTTCCTATCATGGGTAGATGACCAGTCAAAAAATATATTTCAAGGTAGTTCACAGGGGCGTGTATTTCCAGAAAGTAAGATGCATTTGCTTGGACAATGGAATATGAAATGCTCTAATTAGAATGCAAAAGTGGTTTTGGGTGAATGCCCCAATATCTCTTATGATAATGAGGGTCCTATGTCATTGTCATTGCACATTAGTCAATTTCTACCTTACATTACCCAATCTAAAGTAGGTCCTCTCACCAGAGAAATAACTCCTGATAAAAAGAATAATATCTGACAGGATAATTCAGTCATTCTTCTTTCATTCCCTAGTGTTTCAGGATTTTAATAAATCAGATCCCTTGATTGTTCAAATGCCAAGTGCAATTTTGATACCAGCTCCTTCTTGTGAAGAAGGAAACGCTGACTTGCTATTACTCCCCTGTCTGACTATACATGGAACATTCATTTTTGCTTGGTAGGCCTGGTGGAGCTTGAATCATGGAAATTCTCGTTGCGCCGCGAGTTCAGTGGTGCTATATTGGAGGATCATTGTCAAGCACCCTAACAGCATTTCCTTCCTGAGGAAGCTGAGCCCCTGCAGCTAAAACAATCAGACTGGAGGGGAAAAGAGGTTGGGGCGGGAGGGTGTTTGAGCAATATGGCTCAGAAAACGGGATAGGCCACCAGATATACAATACCAGGAATAGCTTTGCTATGTTCCTGAAACTGGTGCTCACGGATTAGATCTTTGAGCCTTCAGTGCCAGCTGTCATTATATACAACCAGGAACAGTCTTTCCAGATCGAGGTGGAGTGCGGGGGAGGAGGAAACAGTTTTTTTAATTATTACTATTATTATTATTATTAATGTGTTCTTTGGGGAGGAAAGGAGGAAACCTTATACATGTCCTTTTAGCCATGGTGAAGAACATGAGTTTAAACTTCACCTTAGTGGCCTCACACTTGGACTTGAGCACTAGTTTGGCAATTGGGGGGCCAGGAGGGACTGGACTTTTTTGGTTTGGGGGGTTTGGCTTTTTTGTCTGGTACCTGATGACTTGTGTGTACTAAGGATGAGCATCTCAAGAACACACATTTATTGAGGGCTGCTTTCGTTTATAACAATTCCAGGAATGGATGAGAACCTGTCCACATGTGACTTTGATGGGGTTGTTTTCAGTGAGGAGGGATTCCCCCTGTTCACTCATTCATGTCCTCTCCTTGATTTGTGTCATTCCAGGACTAGTCAAGGATGTGTCCACATCATAGTGGCTCAGACCAAAGACAACAAGTACACACTGAACCAGACAAGTGCAGTCTTTGACAGCATCCCTGAAGTGGTACACTATTATTCCAACGAGAAGTTGCCTTTCAAGGGGGCAGAACACATGACCTTACTCTACCCTGTGCACAACAAGCTGCACTAAGGTTCAGCCACCAAAAGCCCTGTCCGGGCCTCTCATACCTAAGAGGGCACCAGCACCCAACCAGCACCTCAGGGGACAAGGCTGGACTGCACCAAATAATTGGTAGGAAGTGGGGGTCTTCTTGAAAAGTCAAAAAGTCTTTGGGCTTGAATCCATTCCATGGCACTTGGTTACTGACCTGTTCCTTTTCTCCCTGCTAAGTAGTTCTACAATATGAAATCATAATTTACCAGTTTTCTCCACTCTCTAGAGTAGGGTGTACTATTTGGGGTGTGACCCTCAGCAAAGGTAAGTCAGTAGTCCAGGGATATTAAAGTTCTCCATAAATGTACTGACTCTTACCTGGAATACCTGGTCTCCAAACAAACCAACAAAATGCACTTGGCTTTTACATAAGACAGCAAAAAATGATCAGGTGGACCAGAAGAAGTTGTAATATCAAGCTCCTTTTGGGCAAAAGGGTGAACAGAAAGAATAAGTGAATAGTAGACCTTAGAGAAAGCTATATTGCTCGAGTGTCCTCGTTTAGCTTTGGAGTCCATGAAAACTCACAACTTTAGGGTCTGGCAAAAGGATTGTTTTGTTGGTCAGCCTTCTAAGAAAGTTTGTGCTCTCTCAATCAGATTGAGAAATTCATCATTTCAACAAATCAGTAACATAAGCATAAATAAGAAGGACTATTTAAGAATCACCAGTACAGGCATCTGGTCAAGGTGGAGGTGGAGGTAAATGCCATACTCACATCCTCCCGTAACCACATTAAAATTACAGGACAACCATCACTCAGAACTACCTAAAATCTAGCTGAACAGAAGTTTTATGACTAAAGGTATATAGAAGATGCCACATCAAGACTGGTAGGAGGTGCAGAGACGCTGAACAGGCTGGTTCCACACCCACATGTGGCAGGTAAAAATTGGGAGGGATATCTTGACCGGAGTTCCCTCCTGAGGAGCGAGGCATCTTGGCCCAACACTAGGCTCTCCAGCCCAGAGTTCCAGTGCCAGGAAGAGAAGCCCCCATAACTTCTGGCTATAAAAACCAGCAGGGATTGCAACTGAGTGAGATGGAAGGGCTTCTGGAGTCCCAGACAGTTCCTCTTAAAGGGCTCGTGCACACACTCGGACTACTCCCTCTGAACTCCAATGCTGGGGCCCCAGCTCAAAGGGCACCAGGGACATATGGGGAGGAATTGAATTATCTGGCATCAGGGCGAGGTCTGGAGGGGCAGCTTTCTCTCAGACAGAAGTGCTGACAGAGGCCATTGTTCCTTTGCTGAATCTTCCCCACACAGCCAGGTAATGCCATATCTGAATCTCCATCAACCTGGCTATCACTGTTTGCCCTGCCCTAGTGATTCCCTGAAACCCTGCCCCACCCAACTTGCAGACTCACCCAAGCTGTTCCCAGTGGCTATTCCATACAAATGGCCTGTCTTGGCTCATGCTTCAGACTTTCCTAAAATCTCTCAGGCAGGCAGCATCTAGCCTTGGCATGCCCCATACCTCTCACTAAGTGGCCCCAGGACTGGCACTAGTGGCAGCTGGCCTTGGTTCACAGCTTGGCCTCTCCTGGGTCCTCCAAGTCCAGCACAAGTAGCAGTCATCTGCAGATCAATTCGTAGCTCATGCCCATGCTGGGAGGCCTCAGGCAGAACACAGGCTGCAGCTGACCTTGGTCTGTACCTCCTGGGAGGCCCCAGAACCATCACACCTAGTGGACTGCTTCACACCATGTTGAAGCACCACCCTTCACAGGTGACACACTCAAGGGGCAGACTCAGTGCATACCAGAGCCCTGCTGAAATAAATCCTGTTCTGTGGGGTGGGCCCCTGCACAACTGATCTTCCACCATGGTCACAGCCAGTTCTTGCAGCTGATTGGCCTGGGGATAAATTCCTCCCTTTGATGTACTAACAGCAATCAAGGCTCAACTACAACAGGAGGATGTATACACAGCCCAGAGTGGGATGGCAGGGACCTGAAGTGTCCAGCTTGGGTGAATAGGGATGCTGCACCACTGGACCCTACAGAACACCTACTACTTTAGGCCATTCTACGAATCCCAAGAGATGTAGTAGCTCTACCTAATACATAGAAACAAACACAGGGAGGCTGCCAAAATGAGGAGACAAATATGTCCCAAATGAAAGAACAGAACAAAACTCCAGAAAAAGTTAAACAAAATGGAGACAAGCAATCTACTAGATGCCGAATTCAAAACACTAGTTATAAGGATGCTCAATGAACTCAGAACTTCAACAACATATAAAAGGACATGGAAACCATAAAAAAGAACCAGTTACAAATGAAGGATTCACTAAATGAAATGAAGAACACTTTATAGGGAGTCAACAGTAGAATATGTGAAGCCAAAAATCAAGTCAGCGATTTGGAATATAAGGAAGCAAAAACAGAACAGCAACAAGAAAAAAGAATCCAAAATAATGAGGATAGTGTAAGGAGCCTCTGGGACAACTTCAAATGTACCAACATTCATCGAATCATGAGGGTGCCAAAAGGAGAAGAGAACAAGAAACTGAAAATATTTGAAAAAATAATGACAGAAAACTTCCATAACCTGGTGAAGGAAATAGACATACAAGTCCAGGAAGCACAAAGAGTCCCAAACAAGATGAACCCAAAGAGACCCACAGCAAGACACATCATAATTAAAATGCAAGAGGTTAAAGACAAAGAGAATCTTAAAAGCAGGAAGAGAAAAGCAGTTAGTTACCTACAAGGAGCTCCCATAAGACTGTTAGCTGATTTTTAACAGAAACTTTGCAGGCTAGAAGGGATTGGCAAGAAATATTCAGAGTGATGAAAAGCAAGGACCTACAACCAAGACTGCTCTACCCAGCAAAGCTATCATTTAGAATTGAAGGACATAGAAAGCTTCCCAGACAAGAAGCTAAAGGAGTTCATCACCACCAAACCAGTATTGCGTGAAATGTTAAAAGATCTTTAAGAAAAAGATTAAAAATATGAACAATAAAATGGCAATACATATCTGTCAATAATTGAATCTAAAAATCAAAATGAACCAGCAGAACAGAAACAGACTCATAGATAAAGAGAACATTTTGATGGTTGCCAGATGAGAGGAGATTGGGGAAGATGGGTAAAAAAGGAGAAAGGATTAAGAAATACAAATTGGTAGTTACAGAATAGTCATGGGGTTGTAAAGTACAGCATAGGGAGTAGTCAATAATATTCTAATAACTGTGTATGATATCGGATGGGTACGAGATATACCAGGATGAACTTAGTAAGTTATATAATGTCTAATCACTGGGTTGTACACCTGAAACAAAATATTATATGTCAACTGTAAATGAAAAATTAAAAATGACTTTAAAAGATAAAAATAAAAAAAAATCACCAATATCATTAAGCATTGGCATTATTATTCTGAATTATAGAACAAAACACATAACAGATTTCATTTCTGATTTTTTAATTCTGAAAATTTACAAAGCTCGACAACTTTTCTTATTGGGTAATTATACAGAACTTCTGATACCTTTGGTTTCATCTTTGTGCATTGTGGTGGTTATGGAATTATTAATTTTTGTCCCTAAAATTAGATTTGTTTTGTATTTTTAGAGTAAGTTTAAAATATATGTATAATTCTAGGATCTGATTATATGAACTGGGTCTCAAAAGCCTGCAAACTCTCTCTCATGCTGTACAAAGCAGACCGGTTCACACTGTATAAAAATATTTTAAAAGACTTGAGATTTTCTCTAACTGCTTAAATTAACATTCATACTATTATTATCTTTATGATTTATTGTGAACTTATATCGCCAATTTACTTACTGTGAAAAAAACAATGGCAATGGCACACTGTGAGAAGACAACTACGGTGAGTGGCTCTATAATTACAACTGAGCAGATGTTTCTGTGTTCTGGGGTTTGTAATTGGGTTCTCAAAACTGGTCCAGCTGTAAATGTGTCGACTATCAGCAATGAAAAGTTAAGTTTGTAGCTTCTTTGAAATATACCAAAAAATATTGATTTGGTTAATTTTGGGGAAAGCATATCTTTCTAGTTATTAGTCATCATTTTACAATTATGATTTAGAGGTTAGTAAATACTTGTTGCCTTACTCAGTTAAGATTGTAGCCCAAGGGTTGTGTGATCTTTGATTTTTAAAATTTGAGAGGAACTTTTTCTCACTGGATCCCAATGATTTTATTAATAAAGAGTGTTCTGTTTTTTAAGTACTGAAACAATTTTTTAATGTGTATTGGTTCGTGTACTCTATCTTTAGTACAAGTTTGGGTTTTTTTTTTTCATTTTTAGCATCCATGGTTCCAATTCCATTAAACAAATATTTATTGTCTTGCATATACCAATAATTCATTGCATTAAACTTATTTTTCGTTCAATATCCTAGAAATGAAACCTTATTTTTTACTTAAACTTATTCTACAAACCAAATACAGCAGTTATCCTAATTTTAATAAATACTAAAAGCTTTGCAAAAATTTTTCTTCGTTGTCCTAAATGATTTTTGGCCCATACCCAGCAACTGTGATGAATATATAATGAAATACATTTTGAAAGCAGACCTGATTAAGTATTTATTGAGCTTCTAGCAAATGCTCAGTATTGTGCTTTTTCTATACTGTTTTTCTGTGACAGTCATACTATTCTTTATGTAATTAAGAGTGGAGATGTGGAAGAAGAAATATAGTAAATTAGCAGGGGTGGTTCAGCTAGTATTTTCTTCAGGTTGTGACACAAGTTGACAAAGCCAGGGAATTCACAGCTGGGTGGTGGCGCAAAGTGCCATACATCCTAAAAACAATTAGGCCCAGCAGGGTGTCCCTAATGGCTTCCTTGTTAAGCCTCCTGGGCCAGCTGATCTGAAGCCCTCGGACATGTTTCCTCTCTGAGCTCTGAATGTTTGGGCTTTTTGTCATTTTGTCTCGATACAGGTGTTTTCCTGGAGTCTTCATTCTTTTGAGTTAATTCTGTCCCCCAGACAGATTCTTTCTGGAGAGAATGCTGTTCGGACAAGTTTGTGCTCGCTGGCCTTGCGTTTTGCATCCTTTTGCATCCGTAGAGCTTCCTGCATCTGGGTTCTTTCTCTTTTATCACACCTCCTTTAAAAACAAAAGCTCTGCTCCAGGGTAATAGTTTATTTAGTTGGTTTGTTTCAGGCCTATAAGAACAGAGGGTAAAAGGACTTTTCTATTTACTTTGCTACTGTAACTCTGTCCATCAGGTTGGATTTCAACTTTTGGAGTTGTGTGTATTTAAATAAGTAGGAATAAAATAATAGAGAAACGTTAATATGTGTACCAAAAAGTAAATATTGACATGCCTACTCTCTATTGGGACATATGTGCCCTTTGAAGTTATCCAAGGTGCTTTCTTAAGAAGCATTTATAAAAAGAGCCTTTATTTTTTGCTGTTTAAAGTCTCCATACATTGCTGAGTTGTTAGTCATTTATTGGCCTCTGCCACAGAATGGGGAGGTGGGCAGATCATCTCAGGGGACAGCCAGAAGTTTCAGGCACAGGTGGGAAAATGGTCCTAACCTGGTGCTTTTTAAATGAGGGTATCCTTTCTATTCTATTAAAATGCCCTTTTTATAGTCAAAAGTTAATGCCTCACTTCTCCTTCCACCCGAAGGGGGGGCACTAAGATGTCTAGATTTCATTTCCCTTCTCCGCATCCTTTTAATGTTTAGCAGAATTTCTTTAATACCTTTCTCATAGATGCCTTTCATTCATTAGTTGTCTCTCTTATTTTCCATAACCAGCCCTATTTTGGCCTCATGATCTCTTTAGAATCACTCTTCTTTATTCTTCTCTCCAATTTTTACAACCCCATTAACCTGGACTTAGAGAAACTTGACCTGCTGTGGACCTTAACGTAGTCTTCTTAATTTCTGATCCTGTAGAAAGCAAGCAGTGGTGTGTTACTGCCATCTAATGGACAGAGAGCGAACCGCAGTGGGGAAACAAGCAGCACACTTAGGGTGTTTTCTAAAGGATTTCTGATCCAGTCCATAGCATGAAAAATGACCACACAGCAGTTGCCATCTTGAAATCTGTCTTTTCCTGTGGAAAGGGTGACTTACAGCCTAATACAACTCTCATCATGAGGCCCCTGGACTATGGCTCGATCATGTCATTTAGAATCTTAAGTTGTATTCTAATAAATATGCTAGCAACAGATAATTGAGACAGCCATCTCATTTTATCAAGTTCTGAACCATTCAATTATTTGTCAGTGGGCTTTCCCATTTTAAATATTAACTAATACATAGTTTTAACTTCTGAAAATATTTGAAGAGTGTATGTAAAACAGATGCCTATCTGTAGAGCTTTAGTAATGTATATTATATCAGAAAGATTTTATAAAATTTCTGGATGTATTGCAGTAGCCAGTATAGGCTGCTTGCCCTCCTGAAGATGGTTAACCTTGAAATGTAACTTTAAATAAACATTATTCCAAGAAAACCATGTTTTTGCTTAATTTAATCACCTTCATAAAAATAAAAAATAAAAATAATTTCTGTGTTAACAACTGTAGCAGAAATGGTCAAAATTTTCATTTGTAATCATTGTTAATGAAATGTATAAACAAATCATGATTGAACATAACCATACCTGATCTTAATTTTTTTCTCAGTTCATTTTTAGAGCTCCCCTATTATGCTTTAATTCCCAAATAAAACAGAAACAGTGATGTTGTATTCTGTCTCCTTGGCCATCTTCTTCCTGAGTAGACAGTTGTTGCATTTGTCACCGCCCCTGATGAGGCATCAGAGTGTGGCTTTGTTTTTGTTTTTATTGTTTGGTGTTTATATAGATGCCCTCATCCCATCCATGGGATTTGATGCTGTAGTCTGTTGTGAAGCTTAAAAACTGTGTATTTTGTTAAAATCTATTTTTTTAACCTCCATGATTTTGATGCTCAGTCATGGCCAAAAATCACCATTGGAAGCTAGTATTTAGAAATTTGCGAATAAATTCATTTGAGATTCTAGCAGAAGGCTATAGCGTTGAGTCTTTCGGTATCAAATTTTACCAAGTATGGGTAAAATTGTTTCGGTATCAAAACATCCATTGAACGTTTATATAAATTGCCACCAGGTGGTACAAGTGCCTATTGTTTTTCCCCATCT